CGGCCACGCGCACTCCCACACCCTCCCCCTCATCGTCCCTGCCATCATCACCTCCCACCATGTCCGTTGAGGAGGAGGAGGTGGCGAGGAGGGTGCTCGACGACTCTGTCCGGGAGCACGACCGCGCCCAGTGGGAGGGCCTCGACGAGATGTTGGCCCCGTCGACCGCTGGCAATGTCACCATCCTCGAGCTGCGGGTCAAGGAGGAGGTGATGGAGGAAGTGAAGGAGGAGGTGATGGAGGAAGTGAAGGAGGAGGTGCCGGAGGAGCCTCCCGCTGCGGCCTGGAACCCGGCCTTGGTGGGGCAATCGCGATGGTGAACGGACATGATGCCCTGCACAACAGAGTATGTATCTGTGTCGCCTTGTGGTGGGCGCGGACACATGGTCATCGTCCCCGCCAGGGCCAGAAGTAGTGCAGGCACCTCCCACCCCACAACCATCGCAGGGGCCGCCAGCCCACCTATGACAACCACCGCCCTATGTTGACCTCACCATGGGTGACGAGGACGAGGACGAGAATGAGGACGACGGCCATGGCGGCGACGACCATCTAGTTTTTATTTTTATTTTTATTTTAAGTTTAGTTTGAATGTGCGGTCGTGGGACTTTGTAGAGGTTTAAGTTTTAATGTAATATATATCATTTTAAATTATTTGTAATGTCTTTGTTGTCAAAATTTTAAAATCTAAATACGGACAGAATATTGAGATGCGGCAGCAGGGTGACCGCACCGACGGCCGGACCAAAACCGGACACAGTCTTCTGTTTACTCACGTAAACAGACATAAACCGGACAAAAACAACCGTCCGATTTGCGCCCACGTTGGAGTTAATCTCAAGTGACGACGTCGTGCGTCGATTTTCATTGCGTGCTGGCTGCTCTGCATGCACCCGACTCTGCGGGTACGAACACGGCTGCAGGCTTGCAGTCAGTTAAAATAGGTGATGACGTACTTTTATATCACTTTCTGGTACATTTAAAGACTTTTTTCTGCACAGTCAAAGGCAACGACATGTAAACTACACAATGCTGGAGCTGTGACCAAATATTTTTTGCAAGACATCTACAATCAGGTTGGGCTAACTCGGTTCCCTATGTATGGGCTCTCGGGGATATACAAAGCCAATGGAAAGGGACAGAGTGAAAAATACGCGGACTTTGTGCGGGATTTTGGGCGCTACACGGTGCTGGCCGAAACTCCCACAAATCTTCACTAGTTTTGAATCCGGTTTGAGGGAATTCGGACAAACGAAGACAACGCTGTTTGAGGCCCCACATTGCATGGCAAGAAAATGTCTGAACATGATGGTCCAGACATTTGCGGACGCTGTAGGCCACGACGTTGGAGATGTCCTCATCACGCTTAGAGCAGCTTCAACGCGCCGATTCAAGCGGACGGCGTTTTTGTCCGTTTGAATCGGCCGTCTGCCCGACGTCCGTCCTGTTTTTAATTGGGATGACAGTGCACGTAACACGTCGACCCATATGTGCCGGTGTGACCGGCTGGCTACCGTTTTCAACAAATAGCTCATTTTTTATAATGTTTCACACATAACTTTTGCATTCAAACATATAGTCTAGAATCAAATAAGTAACATAGTTTCAACAAAAAAATAGCATAGTTTTACAAGCCGAATAAAAGTAAAAATGTCTCATATAGTTTTGCAAGCCGAATAAAAAAGATACAACTAATGGTTGCCAACATGAGCCCACATATACTCAAACAAATCATTTTGCAGTTGCATGTGAGTTTCCCAATCACGCATGTCATGATGAAATTTGGTGAATTGTTCAAACGTTGCTGCTCCTTCATGTTGAGATACAATATTCTCACCTTGAAACTGAAACTCTTGATTTACAGACGTTCTGGGCGCTCATCTTCTATGATCATATTGTGCATGATCACACAAGCAGTCATCACCTTCCATAGTTTCTGCGTGCTCCAAGTATTAACAGGATACCGGACGATGCCCCATCGAGATTGTAAAACATCAAAGGCACGCTCAACGTCCTTTCTAGCACTCGCTTACTCTTGGGAAAATCTTTTTCTCTTCTCTCCGACAGGTTTGGGGATTGTCTTCACAATAGTGGTCTACTGAGAATAGATACTGTCATCCAGGTAGTATCATTTGTCGTAGTTGTGGCCGATGATAATAAAGTTCACTGGTGGGTTGTTGCCTTCGGCAAGCCTAGCAAACACCGACGAGCGCTGAAGCACGTTGATTTCATTGTGTGATTCGGCTATGCCAAAGAAAAATTTTCAGATCCAGAGATCTTAAGACGCCACGGTCTCAAGTATGACAGTGCAAGCCCTGACATGGCCCTTATACTGTCCTTGCCAAGCTGAAGGGCAGTTCTTCCACTCCTAGTGCATGCAGTCTATGCCGCCAAGCATCCCTGGGAAGCCACTGCTGGCATTCATCGCCAACAAACGGGCTGTATCTTCACGAGTCGGCTCTCTCAAGTACTCAGGGCCAAATACAACAATAACAGCCTTGCAGAACTTATACATACGTACTCGTCAATGAGATCACCGGGCATGTAGACTCGCTCATACGGACGTACTCGTCAATGAGATCACCGGACACTTCGTATGCAAGCATTCGGATGGTGGCAGTGCATTTTTTTATAAGAGGAGAAACCAATCTTTCCAATAGTATCCTCTTTGCACTCAAAATAGTCATCATAGCCGCCCAACCCTCTCTAATACGGTTGAAAAGATGTCTACTCATACGGAAAGGGCGGCGAAATTTCTGATATTTGAACAACGGATTTGTTGTGTCAAAGTATTCCTTTCAAAAAAGGAAGTGCCCGCTCTCTCGGTTGCGGTTCAACGCCGGAAGGTGGCCCGGAATGGAACCACAAAACGCGGGCGCTGACTATTGAGGTGGTGATGGACCAATACGGCATCCAAGATCTCCTCCTCCTCATTGGACGAGGAATCATCGGAGTCGCAAAGGAAATTGTGAAAAAAAACCTTGTAGACGGAGTCCATTTTGTACCTTGGCAAACTGTCGAACAATTTGCGGGCATGACGAAGGAGACGGCCGGCGAAGGGAGTCACGCCGCCCTCGGACCAGCTAGCTGCCCTGGTGGCGTCTGACGAGCGTGCTGGTGAGGATCTGGACGAGGCAGCTTCTTGGTCACGGTCGTGGTTGTGTTGAGGAAGCGGGGGTGGGAAGCTTTCGGTTCCCAGGCGGCAAGACGGCTGTGGCGGGCGACGTGAGAGGTGGCGGCAGAACCATCGATGAAATGGGCGGTGTGGGCGGCGGCGGCGACGACGAAGGAGACTGGCGAGGGCTTGTTGGAATGGGAGAGGATGACCAGCGGGCCAGGGGAAGGAGAATGCGAGCGCACGTGTCCGTCTCGTGTCCGCGTCGACGTAAATCCGGCTAAAAAATGAGCCGGGAATTGATCGCCTGCGGACGAAAAGCGGACGCGCGTCCGTTTAGGTCGATGTGTTGGTTCGACTTTTGTGTCCGTGCCGATTCAAACAGACACCCGCGGACGAAATGGATCGCCCCGTTAAAATTGCTTTTATGTGGCAAACTTTATGAACAACCATAAAACAAGTGAAAATGTCCTAATGTGATACGTGAAAATTACTGGAGTATACGTAATAAACATGACAATGGTGTCCGATTTTGGCCCAGGGAGGGAGAAATCCTAGAGGTTAAAACAAATTACTGCTGTACCTTAAGTAGAGTAAAACATCAAATACACTCACCTCACACAGAGGATTGAACACTGAGCTTTGCGGCTCTTGGAGATTGCACCAAGAGGACGCCTGCTCGTCTTTTTGATACGCTCGATGAGGTGACGAGGGGCCAGAAACTTTAAAAGCCAGCATTAACCTTCTTGGTACTGCCAGGGGAAGAGCATTGACCAGAGTTAAGTAAGTAACGCCATCCATCAGTTGGTCTAGGAAGTAGGGCATGGTACTACTCTACTCTACTCTGAGGTGGTGTTTGTTTCTCTAGTCCTAGGACTTTTTTTAGTCCCCGGGACTTTTTGAAAAAGACTCTTAAGGAGGTGCTTCTAAGGACTTTTAGCAAAAAGTTCCAAAAAAGTCCCACCCTGTTTGGTTTGGTAGGGACTTTTTCTAGTCCCTACACCAAAAAGTCCCTGTAAACAAACACCCCCTGAATCTGAATTCTGAGGCTGCCCGTAACGGGAGTATCATAGATATAGCATCATACATATCAACTAATCAATTTTGATGAGGTGGCATAAAAATAAATGAAGAAAGAGAGACTTGAGTATCATATTATGATACTGTATCATATTAAATGATGTGCTACTTTGTGTCATGCGTGACAATAAATGTAGTTCTCTATGATACCAATATATGATACTTCCTCTGTTTTTATTTAGTCTGCATATTAGGTTTGACTGAAGTCAAACTTTGCAAAATTTGACCAAGTTTATAAAAAAATATATAAACATTTGCCATAACAAATCTATATGATGTGAAAGTACCTTTAATAATAAATCTATTGGTATTAATTTTTTATTGTATATATTAATATTTTTGTTTATAAACTTAGTCAAAACTTATAAAGCTTGACTTTGACCAAAGCTAATATGCAGACTAAATAAAAACGGAGAGAGTACTATGCATTAGAGATGTAGTATCATACACTAGTATCATATGCATGATACTAGTATATGATACTCCCTATTACAACCAGCCTGATGGAACATGCATTCAGAGTCCGTTTTCTAAACAAGCGAGCCTGGGTGAGATGAGGTATGGCGCAAGGCATCTTCGTGCACGCATGCCTGATCATGCATGGTCACTCAAGCCTACCACTCCACTCTCACTCTGAGTAGCGGCCCGTCAGCTCCGAGGAAAGAAAAGAAAGAAACCATACAAAAAGCCAAGGCCATTGCCAAACCCAGACAACGACGCCTCCTTGCAGGCTCGCCCTCCTTCACTCATTCACTGTCGACTCCCGCTCCAAGCCGTCGACAGCACTCTCCAGAGATCGAGAGCCATGGCACGCCGGACCAACCACACCGCCTCGCCCCCCATGAACGCCACGTCTCCGCCTCCGCCGAGGCCGCTGCCCCACGCCACGGGCGACGCCTGGGGCCCCTACTCCAGCTCCCGGGCATTCTTCTCCAACGTGGCCACCATCCTCATCATCCTCGCCTGCGTCTCCCTCCTCGCCTTCTCCCTCCACGCCGCCGCTCGCTTCCTCCTCCGCCGCCTCGCCCGCCGCCGCGCCGCGCGCGCGCGCGCGCGGGCGCGGGCGCAGGCGCAGGGGCAGCCACAGCCGCCGAAGCCTCCGTCCGACGCCGCGGCCGCCGAATTCTCTGTGGAGGCCGGGGCAGGGGCGGGCGTCCAGTTGGCCGGCGGGTGGGGCGACGCGGAGTGCGCCATCTGCCTGTCGGAGCTGGCGGACGGCGAGCGCGTCCGCGTGCTCCCGGCGTGCGGCCACGGCTTCCACGGGGCCTGCGTGGACGGGTGGCTCGCGGCGCGCGCGTCCTGCCCCACCTGCCGCGCGCCGTCCCGGCTGTCGCGGGCCGGAGAGCCCTAGCCAGACCAGGACGCTGTCACCTCCGGCGCTGGGTCGGTCATGGATCCATCGTCACTCTGTCTGTACCGCCGACAAGAAGCGACATCAAGTGCGTCGCGGCGGGGGAGCTTGCCGGAGCTCAGCTCTGTCGTCGCGTGATTTGTAATCGAGTGCCGCTTGTACTACTCTTTGAGGGCGTCTGACAATGCAAATCGATTGCGGCCATCAGCTCGGATCGTAATTCGCAATCATCCCTCTTGCGTTCTCATCTCATGTCAAACTTGCATTGCATCATTCGATTCATCCGTCGGATTCTTGCGCATCCGTTGATGAATTCCAGTGCCGTCGGCTGTAGGCCTGCATTTTTTGGCGTCCGGGCAGAGCAGGCTCGTCGTCAGTGACAAACTGAAAAGGCAGCTCGGCTCTGGGTCGACGGATTCCTTCCGGCGCTAGAGTGGATACGAGACAAGAAGAGAAAAGCGGTAAAGCAGAGGAAGACGGAGTGATAGAGTGGTGTAGGCTCCGTAGGGCGCTGCTGCGAGAATATTACTACTAGCGGTGGGGCTGCTTTGCGAGCATTGTGTAGAGGTTTGGTTAGGTTTCGGCGCGGCAGGTGGCATCGGCGTTCGGCGGGTGGTCGCGGTGGAGCCGGGTCGGTCTGATTGGGGTGCGTTGGGCGTCGCAGTCGTCCCGTTGGGAGCAGCGCCATTGCAGTATTTGGCGCCAAGCACCAGGGCTCTCAACCTCTCCTCCGCCGACAGGACAATGTTTTTGGTATTCGCTGCCGCAAAGGCTGACCAAGCTAGCATAGCAAGTAGTACTCTCTCCGTTTCAGTGCTTCAAGCTGGAGAGGTGCTAAGCATGCCACATAAATGAAAAAAATGACATGACACAACAATTAAGGAGAAAGAGCATTTTGATGATCTTAGGAAGAACCAATGCCAAGCACGTGTAGCTAGGTAAACCATTTAGGCCTCCTTTGGTTTGGAGAAATTTTATAGGAATTTTAGATGATAGGATTCTTATAGGATTTTTTTGTTTAGAGCCCTTTGGTTCATAGAAATAGATTCCTATTCCTACATAAGATTGGTTCCTATCCTTCACATTTCATAGGAAAATAAAAATGAGCATAGACTCAATGGAAAAATTTCTTTGGTGTCAACCAAATGACATCTTGTTTCCTATTCCTACTCATAGAATTTGAGATACATGCCATCTCATTTCTTACAAAATTCTATTCCTATGATAATCCTATCCTATGAACCAAAAGAGGCCTTAGGCATTTTTTGATTCATAGGATAGGAATTTTATAGGAATAGAAAAATCATAGGAAGTGAGATGACATGCATGTCAATTCCTATAGAGAAAGATATGCCATTTGATGCATAGGATAGGATTTTCTCTGTTGAGTCTAGGCTAATGTTCTTTCCCCTCCAAATGTGAATGATTGATTCCTATCCTACATAGGAATAGGAATCCATTCCTACAAACCAAAAGGCTTCGGCCTCCTTTGGTTTGGAGGAATCTTGTAGGATTTCTAAAGGATAGGATTTTTATAGGAAAAATTCCTATGAAGCCCTTTGGTTTGTAGAAATGAATTCCTATTCATATGTAGGATATGAATCAATCCTTCACATTTCAAAGGAAAAAATATTAGCCTAGACTCAATGGAAAAAAATCCTATCCTGTGAATCAAGTGACATCTCTTTCCCTATAGGAAGTGAGATGCATACCATCTCACTTCCTATGATTTTCCTATTCCTATGATATTCCTACTCTATGAATCAAAGGATGCCTTCAAAGGAATATTTCCTTTGCAAATTGTATCCTATAGAATTCCTATAAAAACCCTACAAACCAAAGGAGGCCTTAAATGAAACAACTTGATTACTGGATGAAAGACTTTAGGTGCTAACTCATTAAATAAAGTGTGCTTAGCAACAATAAGTTAAACACCTATGCATTGGGAAGTTGAGTTGCTAAGATATTTAATGCACTTAGCACCTCATCTAATGTTGTTGCCACGCTGCCCTCGCCCTCGCTCTTTATGTGACGCCGTGGCTCGAACCAACGAGAAAGGGAGATGGACAGAGGTTTTTGCCCGGAGCACGAATTCCGCCCCGCCGCACGAACGACGTATTCTTTCTTCCCTGAGCACGTACTCAGTCTCCCGGCTACATGGCTTACAACACAGCTCCCCCAGTACAACACACACACGAGGCCAGGCCTTTTGTAGTCCCCAGCAGCGCAACACCTTTGTTTTCCATGCGCACGACGCGGCCAACTTCACCTGTGGCTGCTAACTACCGTGCATGGCTAGCCCACTAACCAACTGACTCCTTGCATGTAGGCTGCTAAATCACATCCAGCCAACAACCTATCCAGGAGTCTATCCTACCGGTCATGCACTCACCTAGCTAGCTAACTCACACCACCACGCCACACATGCACGCACACACACATGGACATGGCTTGCTGCTAATATTCAGGCCCCAAGCCATGACCTTGCACATGTCAGGCTCGTTGTCAACGTCGCGCCATGGCCGTCGCACCGCGCCGCTGTGGCCTCCGTCGTGCAGCACCCCATGTCCCGCGCTCCTAGACTCGTGTACACGACGCGCACGCACGCAGTCGCCACGGCCCGAGTCCAGCGCCTCGACGCGGTCAGTTCTCCGCTGCCTTCGTCACGCCACCGTGCCGGCGTGCCCTTCACGCGCACTCCCCATGTCCCCGCGCTCCCGGCCCGCGCTCCCGCCGCGCACGTACGCGATCTGTGCAACCAGGTCCAGCGCCTCGACGCGGTCCACTCCCGCGGTCCCGACGCGTCCAGTGCGCACCCATAACACGCACCGGTCGCGCCCGACTCGCCGCCGCGCTTATTGCCCTGCACCGCTGTGCCGTCAACCGCAGCACAACACCTCCACGGTCGTCGCGCCGAGCCGCCACGGCCTCTGCACCACCACACAGGTCCTCCGCGACCTCCTCATCTCCGTGACCGCCGCTACTCGTAGCGCGCATGGCATCACGCCACATCGCCGCGGACTCGCTGCACGTTGCCGACGCCACGCGCTCGCTGCGCGCACGGCATCACGCCACACCGCCGTGGACTCGCCGCGCGTTGCCGACGCCACGCGCTCTCCGCGTGCCGTTGCCAAGACCTTCATATCCGCCGTGCACCGCGCGCGCCGCGGACGCCGCCGCGCGCCACGGCCGCCCCTCGAACCTTGTGGCTCTGTATACCAATTGTTGTTGCCGCACTGCCCTCGCCCTCGCTCTCTATGTGACGCCGTGGCTCGAACCAACGAGAAAGGGAGATGGACAGAGGTTTTTGCCCGGAGCACGAACTCCGCCCCGCCGCACGAACGGCGTATTCTTTCTTCCCTGAGCACGTACTCAGTCTCCCGGCTACATGGCTTACAACACAGCTCCCCCGGTACAACACACACTCGAGGCGAGGCCTTTTGTAGTTCCCAGCAGCGCAACGCCCAAGTTTTCCATGCGCACGACGCAGCCAGCTTCACCTGTGGCTGCTAACTACCGTGCATGGCTAGCCCACTAACCAACTGACTCCTTGCATGTAGGCTGCTAAATCACATCCAGCCAACAACCTATCCAGAAGTCTATCCTACTGGTCATGCACTCACCTAGCTAGCTAACTCACACCACCACGCCACGCATGCACACACACACATGGACATGGCTTGCTGCTAACATCTAATCACCTTTACATTGGAGGAGGTCTAAAATATAATGCGTCCTCGATTCCTGCGCTTCAACATATATTTAACCAATGATACCGATTACGGCGGGAGCAAAAGTTATACCAGTGAATTCGTATTCAAAAGAAGTTTTTCAATTATATATTTTTTCTCCAGCCACAGTCGGTCTCGTTGGTTAAATTTATGGTCAAAGTTAAACCTCGGGAAGCGCGGGCGCACTATATTTTGAAACGGAGGGTCAAACTATGTCTATAAAATAGTATACTTTCAATTTTGTTGGAGGGTCAAACTAACTCAAAGTTTGACCGAGTTTGTGGAAAAATATGCCAATGCTTGTGAAACCAAATAGATATATGACGAAAATATATTTTATCATGCATCTAATGCTACTAATTTGATGGCACAAATGTTGATCTATTACTGTGTAAATACGGTCTAACATAAAAAAGTTTGACTTTCCAACAAAATTGAAAGTACACTCTTTTAAGGAGGAGTGAATATGATAGATTAGTTGCTTCATTTTATATAGAAGACCACAAACATAAATTACATGTATCAATATAAAATTTAATAACTGCTTTACAAGCTAGCCTTTTCTCTTGTTTACCGAGTTAATTAATAGATGCATGCAAATTCGATAAAATTGAGTGGATATGAGAAAGGAAGTGGTTGAATGTGTCATTATCATCCAATGCAAGCATGCTACTAGTTATACCATGGGTTGCTAGTATGAGGCAACATCATCATTTTTTGACTTGTTTACTGTTTGTGGCTTTGTACGTATGCAAAATGTATTGTGGTCTTATATACAAAAATGGAGGGAGTACTACCTTCATAGTGCATACTATCCTACTTCAGGTTTATAAGGCTTATCTCAAAACTTTCATTTTCTTGTTTTATAAGTCTCATTTTTATTGCTTCACATCACACATTCAAATATCGAGGTGCATTAAATCATTGCATGCAAGGATTAAAAGAAAACTCACCAATGCATGTAGAAGTTCTTAGTTATTTATTAGTCATGCATGCATGCATTGTCATTAATGCATTGGTAAACACAATTGTTTGATGAAAACGAGCGTATTAATTGAGTACTTTTGCAAACTATCAAAATCATTCCACCACTCATCATCTATCTTGGTTAGTGAGATTTTTGAGTTGAGCCATATAAGGCTGGTCGTAATGGTGAGTATCATATACCACTAGTGCAGAACCGGGTAATAGCACCGGTTCGTAAGGCCCTTTAGTGTCGGTTCTGCAACCGGCACTAAAGTGTGGGCACTAAAGGCCCCTCCTTTAGTA